ATTTTTTTCCACCAAACTGCAGAGCAGTGAGCGACGAGCACGGCGAGCGATTTCACCAGGACATTGCAACAATGGAGGAACGCTATCAGGGTAAATGGAGCCCATCAATGCTTGCAGACTATTGCTGGACAGTGACAAGAGATGCTCCATTTAATGAATACAAGAGACAAGCCAAGAAGCGTCAAGTAGACACTGAATAGGACTAAACTATGTACATAAGTTTTTTGCCTTTTGTTTCATAATAAATTTTATTTATATAACCCTTTTGCTGATTTTTAAAGTGTTACATAAACAGGACAGGTGAAATATTATCATGTAAAGCAACCATAAACACATGAAAAGACCTAGCTTTACAATTTATGATTAAAACTCTACTATCTACACAATATACATAGACATAAAATGTAAATACTTAAATATCTTAGAAACAGTAGCCAATCAGTTGTTTTAATTGTCATATTTGAATTCAGCACATCAAAATACATAATAAATAGCACATTTTATCTCTGAAGCAGACGACATCTCAAAAATTGTAGACCAGTGTAGTCTGTATTTGTGATGTCTTAATCTTAGAAATCTGCAGGGCTTCTACTTGGAGTTCTGTTCTCACACAGCATATCCCTCAACTTGGCATCTAGCTCTGTTGCTCATTTTTGGAGAGCAATTCTGCAGAACTTGTTCCAGAAGCTCTCTGCCCATCTTCCTGGGTATTAGAAAGCAGCACAAGTAAAGAATATGCAGATGCTAGCTACAAGAGGAAAGATTAGTAATAATTGCGTCTGTTAGATAGTGTTGTCTCTGTCTATTTAGGCTAACCACCCAGCTTTCCCTTTTCTGAGTTCTAGCCTTGTGGGACTTGGTACCTGGTTAAGTGGAAGGAACTGAGTCCTTTTGAGAGCTCTTGTAACGTCTACTGGGAATGTGCTTGTATAGCCCAAATTGATATTGATTTCCAGAACATTTCTAAAGCTCAATGGTAGAGGGCAGGAGTAAGTGGGTGCATTCTACAAATGAACATTTGCAGAGTAACTCCTGAACAACTAATTCCTGGTCTGTATTCTTTCTGTTATGGTTAGGAATATGGTATGTCTAAAGCTGCATTCTCTCTGGAGGGTTGGGTATTTTTGGTCTCGCAGCCACACTTCACCATTGAAACGATCACTCAAAATATTTAAAAAAAAAAAAAAAAAAAAAAGGCGCAAAACCCACCATTGCCCTCCCACTACCTTTGCTTTATAATTTATTTCATCTATACAAGTTTTATCTGCAGAGGCAGTTACACTTCTAACCATCTTCTTCTTCCCTATCCACCAGCAACCTTTTCTCCTCTCCCCTCCTGCTGACCAGCAACTTTAGGGACTGAAGTGCTGTGAAAACCTTTGCAATTCATTGTAAATGTAGTTGTGTGTTTGGGGGTGGAGGGGTCAGAGAGGACAGAGAGAATATTAGATTAATATATTTGCAGATAATATGTAGGCTTTAATACTGCTTAATAAAGTACCCCTCACAAACCCAGAAATAGAAGGGAGTTCAAATAGCCCTTCATTTTTAACAGAAAATGGAACTTTCCTTCAAAAAAGAGTGGTGCTTATTTTTTCCCATTCATTTCAAATAGAAGTGGCGCTTGAGGTCCCCTTCTATCTTTCAGGTTTTGGGAAGGTCATTCCATGTTTCGTCACTAGGGGACTGGAAACAGTATTCCATAGATCTTTGTTACTTTGTTATCTGACAAGGTGAGGAAGCAACGTTGGAGAAACAGAAAAAGAATAAAAGCTTTCACATAGATTGTATTCAAAATTGGGTGATTATCCACTAAACTCCTGGCATAGGCTACTGGGTATGGACAGCACTAATGAAATAAAATACTCTAAATTCTCCCAACTCACTCTTAATTTGTAAAAGATAGTAAGACATCCCTTGGAGATCAAGGTGGAACACCTAACTGAGGAAGGGGAAGGAGTACTGCGGTTCTCCCTACAAAGTCCCATGCTGCAATGTCACATCTTTACACCATTTGTAAGTCATTTTTTAGTGTAAAAGCTAAACTGGGAGTTGTTTTAGATTCTCTATTTAATTTTTTAAAATTTATTACTGGGTGAGAAACTGCTCCTGAGAGGGCAACTAGGCTTCTGGGAATGGGCTGAGGGGGAGATACAACCTGTCCCAGGGGCCTGTTTTGGGGTGGTAAATGGGATGCTGTCTTCCCAGCATCTCTTCTGCAGCCCCAGAATGCTGGGCCTGGCACCTTCTGTATAAAAGGGTAGAATACTGAGTTGCAGCAGCTCTTGCTTCTCCCGTGCTTCATCAGCTCAGCCATGGGCTGGCTGGCTGGCTGTGTGCCAGGTACTAAAGCTGGTAGGGATTTTCCACCAAAATATTTTTTTCAACGGAAAATGCAAGTTTCTGCAGAATCAAAGATTTTTGCCTAGATGCTTGTTTCTCTGATGAAAAATCAAAATGCAATATTTCTCCATTTGGGTCAGTCAGCTGAATCCAAATTGAAATATTTAGTTTTGGGTCAGTTCCATATTAATCTGTGTCTGCATCAGCTGCTGCAGTGCCTCCTGGGCATTGTAGTTTGGGTGCTTCAGGCTCCCGTTCTTCTCCATAGGCTAGGCAGGGAGCATGGCCCAGCTCCCACGATGCATCATCAACTCCCATAGGTTGAACTGACACAATGTATCATGAGAGTCATATGGTCAGCATCATGTGAAATGTAGTCTGGCAAGGGAGCCCAGCCATAGAGGAAAATGGGAACATGAGGCACTATGGCAGCTCATGGGGCTGTAGATTAATGTTAGACTGAGCCGAAGTGAAATCCATCAATTTGGGAATGTCTAAATGAAACTTCAGTTAGAAAATACAGAATTTTCTGTCCACAAAAGAATTTGATGTTTCAAATTTGGAACAAAAACAAATTTCAAAATATTGGCATTTTCTGCAAAATTCTGACTTTCCAAAAGCTCTACCAGATATGCTGCAAGGGGACTTGCATTGACTGCCATGCATCTCACGTGACACTCACACATGCACATTCCCACAGCCCAGGCTAAGGGCTTGTCTACGCATGGAGTTATTCAGGAATAGCCACTGCTCTTTAAATATACACCTTACTATAATATGAATTAACTTTCAAATGTAGACAAGTTCTAAATGTCATGCAACTGCAGCTTAAGACCTCCAGAAGCTTCTGTGGTGCCTTTTGGACCTGAGCAAAGAAGGAGCAGCCAAGAGTAGGCCAGCAACAGTGGCAGCAGGAAGTGGCAACAGTAGAGGCGGAAGGTAAGATGGGGACAATCCTGGCCCAGGCCTCCCTCCACAGCAACCTTCCAATCCCACCCACATCAAGTCCCAGCTTTCCATCAGCCCTTAGCCAGCATCTACCCTCATGCTCCCCATAGCCACCCCATCTTCCCCTACACACACACCCGAAAAGCTCAGCAGTTCCCAGCTTCTGTCCCCTCTGACACCGCCTGTAAATTCAACTTCTCTTAGCTACTGCCCCCCCACGACCTTCACCCACTTAGCCCCTTCAACAATCCTCAGCCACTCCATCTTCAGCCCACCCAACACCCACCTATGCCCCAGACGCTCTTCAGCACCCACCTAACTGCCAGGTTAGGTGACTGAGCAATGCCAAATGATGACCTATCCCCACCATTGCATGGGGCAGGGTGTATTCACCTTAAACTGAAGTTTACGGTCTTATACAAATTATGTAATAGGGTTTTTCATACTTGCAAATAATTTCCATAAATTGTTATACATGGAGCTGCACAATACTCGGCAACTATGGCATATTGCTCATTTGTGGGAGGAGGGAGGCATCTGCGAAACTTAAGACCTTCGTATGGGGCCTGGAGAAAAGAACACTGCAGATAAGTGAAGGGAGACATGAGATACGTTTTGTTGGGGGGTGGAAAAAGCAGAGGATTGGTTTATCTGGAGGTGAACATGAGGATGGTCACAGAAAATGGAAAGGGGTCTTGGGAAAGAACAGGATGAGGTTGAGGTAACAGGACACAGTGAGCACAAAGGAAGCCCCAAGGAACAGATGATGTGAAATGGAAGAGTTAAGGAAAGGGAGCCAGGATGGGGTTAGAGACAAGAATGAGTGAAATTAAAAGGGGAAGAGAGAGAAGGTCAGAAAATTGGGGAGGGAGCATGGAAAAGAAAACGGGCTGTCTGTAGGGAAAAGCAGCCTGGGAAATTAGAGAATGAAGGAAAGAAAGAGAAATAGGAAGAACGAAAAACAAGAGGAACACTATGTTTGTTTCGGTTATTTAACAAGCATTTGTGGCAAAATATTAAATCATGGCGTGAGGGTCAGAAGGACTTTGGGAGACCTGATCGTGTGTGAGAGGTGGGCATGGGAGTCTAGTGTTCCCAACAGGAAAATAAGTATACTGAGAAATTTTCCATTTTCCCACCTCCGTCTGTTGGAAGGAGAAAACATTCGCTGTTTTCTGGGTTTGCAATAGACAGTCTAAGAGCAAACTGATTAGTAGGTAAGAAAATACCCTGATGTGAGGAAGTGGGAATGTTCTTAATGTTTTCTCTGACTACTGTGTTGGTGCTTCAGTTTCCCCTATGCATTTCTTAGGTATCTAGGTGGGGGGGATCAGGGTGTATGATTGTTGCAGAGCCCAAGAAGGCCCCTGTGATACTATCTGCACAGAGAATGGCCGGCACTTTGTCTCCTGGTAACTAATGGCCTGGGCCCTTCCTCTGCAAAGGTGCCAACTGAAGGTGTTGGAGAACAAAGAGATCAGGTGACCTCCCGGCCCGGGAAAGAGACAAAGACCAGAGAGGAGGGGCTGGAGGGTCTCAGTTTGGAGCTGGCTGGGAAAATGGAGGGGAGCCCAGATGAGGCTCTGGCCTCCCTAGGGCCCCCCAAGATGGACCTAACTAAGGGGGTCCCGTTGTCTGTACCTGCAAGACCCGTCTTGGACTGTGTTCCTGTCGTCTAAATAAACCTTCTGTTTTACTGGCTGGCTGAGAGTCATGGTGAATCGCAGGAAGCCGGGGGTGGAGGGCCTTGTCTCTCCCAAACTCCGTGACACCTCCATCCTCCTCTAATAATTTCAGTTTTATTTAAAAAGCTTTGGATTGTGAACACTAACAGAGTTTTTCTGCTTGTTCCAGTCTCATCTCCATTAGCACTGGTTTACCTTAGCCTTGGGTCTCACACAGTCTCTGTCACAGACAAGATGGCTGTGAGAGGCTGGAAGACTGAGCAATGCCAAATGTATTTGTAACTAAAATGACAGGCTCCATTGCACAGGGTTCTCACAGTAAGAAGCGATTCCCAGCTTATGACCAGTGATTTGATTGGATTGACACAATGTGGTGGAGTTTTCTTTGAACAGACTAATCTAATATGTGGTAAATTTTTTAGATTTTCTTAACAGTTTTTTAAAAGGATGGAAAGAGTAACAACTGTAGGTGGATTGAGTTCTTTGGCCCATTTTCTCCCCCATTTCCTAATGTTAGCTCCCACTTTGCAAAGAAAGATCATTTTTCTTCCCACGTCCATTACATTAAATACCCCAGAGGAAAAGAATAATTAGAAATAAATATGATAAAGCTAAATTTTGCGCCAAATCTTCAGCTGGTATAAATTAGCATAGTTCTATTTAAGCTAATGTACATCATCTGAGGATCTGGCAAAATTACCTTTTAAATGTTAGTACTGTACATACCCTTCTGTTTCAGATCATAACAAGGAAGATCTCAAACCAAATCTCCATCTCCAAGCATCCTGAGCTTTGAAAATTTGGATCCTGCTCTGAACTTTGGAATTTGGGTCCATTCTGGAGAGGTCAGTCAGTGTACAGGCTAAGTATTCTGTGTTTGCTTTTCAAACAAAAGAAACTATAGTTTCCCTTCTCCATCATTCATGGGTATTCATTTGTTAATTCTGAGGTGTGCAAAAATACAGGATTGTTTGATAGTGACAGTAGATGGCACATTATTCTAGCTTGCAATTCAGAAACAGGTGGAAAAAGGGTATAGTAAATCATACCGACCTGACCATCTCCTTTTTAGAAAAATAGTTAAAACCTACTAAAAGTCTTTAATATTTTGCTTTCCATTTAGTTCTATTTTGTTCTCCACAAAGGTTTCTCAGTTCCATGAGATTTAAGCATTTGTTTGCTTTTAATATGAAATCTACTACTTCAGGGCTTCTGAAATAGTCATTTCCTCCAACTCAAATACATACATACTTAAATACTGAGACATTTAAAAATGGCAGAGATGTTTTGTTTTGCTGCAGATGGGCAATTGTTACATTGAACAAATAATGAAATATAACAGTAACAGGAGTTAAAGGGAATTGTAAGAAAATTGCAGGCTGATGACAGCTCTCAGTCCACTACCATAAATAGATGATGTATGTGAGCAAATCAACAGACACTCAACAACTTATTTTGTCAATAACTATGAACGCTTGGGCTCTTCTGTCTCTGGTGTTTGTGAAGACTGAAGACAATTGGAATGTCATATTTTCTTTATAAACTTAAGTAACTTTTTTCATTTTGCATTTAAAGATACTCTGAGCAATACTAGATCAGCTTATCTACAGCCATAAGGGGAAAGGGAACTGCAGTCGTCATTTAGAAGTATGAGGATGCCCTAAATAGACATAATGCCCACCCAGGTGGACATCAAAATCCTCATTTGCTCGCTTTAACCATGGACTACCTTGTTCTCAGAACAAATACTCTCACCTATTTGGAGTTAAGCCTATGCTTATTCTGCCCCAGGCGCTCTTGAAAATTAAAAAACAAACCATCAGTACCAAGGGATAGGATGATGATCATATTACTGGTTCTGGATTAGCCCAGAAAACTCTGCATTCTTTGAGACTTCTAACTCTGGGTTCTGTCCTTGTTCAGACCAAGTAGGCTATGGACTAAGTGCAAAGAAAACCCCACCAACTTTTAAGTGTTACCCTTGATTGACCCCTCAGCAAACCCTCCTCTCAACATCTCCTGCACAAGGATCCTAGTTGCCCCCATATTTTGCCTGTTCAAATGACCATGCTCAAAAAAGTCATACAGGAGTGGAACAGGTGCCAACCACAATGGTGCGTGAATGTCTGGAAATCCATCATTGCCCATTGACTGTTTCTTCAGGGTTGACACTTAGATAACGGAAACCTTCTAGCTATAATTTTGGAGGGTCTACTTAGAGACCAGGATTGTGCTGCCTTGAGGGCCAGGCCTCTGTGGTCAAGGTTCCAAGATAATATCGATAAATTGTCCATAGGATAGGAGCTCTTATAGAGAGAGATGGATGCTTTGAAGGCTGCAACCAAGCTAAAACCAAGATGGCTTTCTCTGGCCCTTCAGCCTGGCCCTTATTGCTCTCAGAGCCCTCTCTTTGAGCTTTTAAAGAGAGGCTTTTTGAGAGCAGCCTGCCCTCATAACAATTTTCCTGGCTAGAAGACTGGAGGAATTCCTGGCCATCAGGAACTGATACCTAGTCTTTCAGCAAGACAAAGTAGTGATCAAGATGATACCTCATTTTTCTTTGATAAATCCTTATCTTATGGCCTAGGATGTCTCTTCTTTCTCCTCCTGCTTCTCCCTGCAAACCCTGAAGGAGCAGAAAGTATATATTCTGGATATAAAAAAAGGGCCTTGTATATCTAGCTGAAAGGCCTCTAGATTATGGGAAATGGTGTAATCTATTTGTCCTCTACAGCTGAGCTGAGACAGAGGCTAAAACCTCCATGGCCTACTGAGTTCTGGAGTGCTCAGAGCAAAGAAGTTCCCACTACCACTGGAGCACATATCTCCCAATGAAGTAGATGGTGTAAGCTGTTGAAGATAAGGGGGCTTGCTGACTTTCCATTGGATATAAGTGCTGAGAGTCATTCCCAGCAAGGAGGAAAACAAACTCAGATAAGTCTGAGTGGGGACAGAGGGACCCACCTGGAACACCGTCCAAAGCCTGAGCATAGGGAAAGTCCCATACTTTATAGGATGCTGGCAGTGGATAGTTGGGGTATGGGGAAAGTCCAAGGAAGGTGTCCAGGAAAGAGAAGAATTGGAGACATCTTCTTCACAAACACAAGCATATCCGATGGCCCCAGCTTAGAGGTTTGTTTAGGCCTTAGGCCATCCCACCAGTGTTGCAGAAGGATTTTAATGGACTTCAAGTGTGTGGGAATCTGGACCCACCTGCTAGAACTTCCCTTCCTACTTCCAATCCCACTAGTCCTTCTCACTATGGGCTTGTCTACTCCCATTGGTACTGCTTTAACTATGGTGGTTTGAAACTGGCATAGCTGAAGTGGTACAATCTCTCATGTGGATGCAGTTATACTTGTATTAAGGTGCTTTATCCTGGAATAGTTTATTCCCATAAAGTTTGTAGGGATAAGCTATACGGGTATAAGCACCTTTATACCACTGTAAGAGCGTCCACACTCGGGGTTGTACCACTTCAACTATTTTGGTTTAAAAAAATGCATCCCTAAGGGCATGTCTACACTACGAAATTAGGTTGATTTTAT